TCGCAGCCACCCTCTCCCCTGACGCCGCCCCTCGCAGCCACCTTCTCTCCCCTGACCCCTCCCTCGCAGCCACCCTCTCCCCTGACCCCGCCCCTCGCAGCCACCCTCTCCCCTCCCCTGACCCCGCCCCTCGCAGCCACCCTCTCCCCTGACCCCGCCCCTCGCAGCCACCCTCTCCCCTGACCCCTCCCCTCGCAGCCACCCTCTTCCCCTCGCAGCCCCCTCCCCTGACGCAGCCCCCCTCTCCCCTGACCCCTCCCCTCGCAGTACCCTCTCCCCTGACCCGCCCCTCGCAGCCACCCTCTCCCTGACCCCTCCCTCGCAGCCACCCTCTCCCTGACCCCGCCCCTCGCAGCCACCTCTCCCCTGACCCTCCCCCTCGCAGCCACCCTCTCCCCTGACCCCGCCCCTCGCAGCCACCCTCTCCCCTGACCCCCCCTCGCACCACCCTCTCCCTGACCCCTCCCTCGCAGCCCCTCTCCCTGACCCGCCCCTCGCAGCCACCCTCTCCCTGACCCCCCTCGCAGCCCCTCTCCCCTGACCCGCCCCTCGCAGCCACCCTCTCCCCTGACCCCTCCCTCAGCCACCCTCTCCCCTGACCCCGCCCTCGCAGCCACCCTCTCCCCTGACCCTCCCCTCGCAGCCACCTCTCCCCTGACCCCGCCCTCGCAGCCACCCTCTCCCCTGACCCCCCCTCGCAGCCACCCTCTCCCCTGACCCCTCCCCTCGCAGCCACCCTCTCCCTGACCCCGCCCCTCGCAGCCACCTCTCCCCTGACCCCGCCCCTCGCAGCCACCTCTCCCCTGACCCCGCCCCTCGCAGCCACCCTCTCCCCTGACCCCTCCCCTCGCAAGCCACCTCTCCCTGGCAGCCACCCTCTCCCCTGACCCCTCCCCGCAGCCAACCCCTCCCCTCGCAGCCACCCTCTCCCCCAGCCCCGCCCTCTCTCCCCTGACCCCGCAGCCCTCTCCCCTGAACCCGCCCCTCGCAGCCACCCTCTCCCCTGACCCCTCGCAGCCACCCCTCCCCTGACCCTCCCTCGCAGCCACCCTCTCCCCTGACCCCTCCCCTCGCAGCCACCCTCTCCCCTGACCCCTCCCCTCGCAGCCACCCTCTCCCCTGACCCCTCCCCTCGCAGCCACCCTCTCCCCTGACCCCGCCCCTCGCAGCCACCCTCTCCCCTGACCCCGCCCCTCGCAGCCACCCTCTCCCCTGACCCCGCCCCTCGCAGCCACCTCTCCCCTGCAGCCATACCCCCCTCGCAGCCATCCTCTCCCCTGACCCCGCCCTCGCAGCCACCTCTCCCCTGACCCCTCCCCTCGCAGCCACCCTCTCCCTGACCCCGCCCCTCGCAGCCACCCTCTCCCCTGACCCCTCCCCTCGCAGCCATCCTCTCCCCTGACCCCCCCTCGCAGCCACCCTCTCCCTGACCACCCTCCCCCCTCGCAGCCACCCTCTCCCCTGACCCCGCTGACCACCACCCTCTCCCCTGACCCCCCTCGGCCACCCTCGACGCAGCCACCCTCTCCCCTGACCCCGCCCCTCGCAGCCACCCTCTCCCCTGACCCCGCCCCTCGCAGCCACCTCTCCCTGACCCCCGCCCCTCGCAGCCACCCTCTCCCTGACCCCCCCTCGCAGCCACGCCCTCCCCGCAGCCACCTCTCCCTGACCCCTCCCCTCGCAGCCACCCTCTCCCTGACCCCCCTCGCAGCCACCCTCTCCCCTGACCCCTCCAGCCACCCTCTCCCTGACCCCTCCCTCGCAGCCACCCTCTCCCCTGACCCCGCCCCTCGCAGCCATCCTCTCCCCTGACCCCTCCCCTCGCAGCCACCCTCTCCCTGACCCCGCCCTCGCAGCCACCCTCTCCCCTGACCCCTCGCCCTCGCAGCACCCTCTCCCTGACCCCTCCTCGCAGCCACCCTCTCCCCTGACCCCGCCCCTCGCAGCCACCCTCTCCCCTGACCCCTCCCCTCGCAGCCACCTCTCCCTGACCCCTCCCCTCGCAGCCACCCTCTCCCCTGACCCCTCCCTCGCAGCCACCCTCTCCCCTGACCCCTCCCCTCGCAGCCACCCTCTCCCTGACCCCGCCTCGCAGCCACCCTCTCCCCCCTGCAGCCACCTCTCCCCTGACCCCGCCCCTCGCAGCCACCCTCTCCCTGACCCCGCCCCTCGCAGCCACCTCTCCCCTGACCCCTCCCCTCGCAGCCATCCCTCTCCCTGACCCCTCCCCTCGCAGCCACCCTCTCCCTGACCCTCCCGCCCCCCTCCCCACCTCCCTCTCTCCCTGACCCCCCTCGCAGCCACCCTCTCCCCTGACCCCCCTCGCAGCCACCCTCTCCCCTGACCCCTCCCCTCGCAGCCACCCTCTCCCCTGACCCCCCCCTCGCAGCCATCCTCTCCCTGCCCCTCGCAGCCACCCTCTCCCCTGACCCCCCCTCGCAGCCACCTCTCCCCTGACCCTTCGCAGCCACCCTCTCCCTGACCCCTCCAGCCACCCTCTCCCCTGCCCCGCCCTCCAGCCACCCTCTCCCCGACCCCTCCCCTCCCCCTCTCCCCTGACCCCTCCCCTCGCAGCCACCCTCTCCCCTGACCCCTCCCCTCGCAGCCACCCTCTCCCCTGACCCCGCCCCTCGCAGCCTTCCCCTCTCCCTGGACCGCCCTCGGAGCCACCCTCTCCCCTGACCCCGCCCTCGCAGCCACCCTCTCCCCTGACCCCTCCCCTCGCAGCCATCCTCTCCCCTGACCCCGCCCCTCGCCTCTCTCCCCTTGACCCCTCCCCTCGCAGCCACCCTCTCCCCTGACCCCCCTCTCCCTCCCAGCCCCTACCCCTGCAGCCACCTCTCCCCTGACCCCGCCCTCGCAGCCACCCTCTCCCCTGACCCCGCCCTCGCAGGCCACCCCCCCCCCCTGCCGCCCTGCATTTCACCAGTCTGTTACTGCTGTTGCTTTCTTTACCTGCAGCCAATAAATACACAATAAATAAACTATAACCAAAAACTGTTATAATCGTTTACATACCAAGGATCCCTTTATTGCTACATACAAAAGATCGGTATACATCAAGCAGCAAAAAATATACCGTTATATAAAAAAAAAATCGTTATATCGTTTATACAAACTGTTAACCCTTTATATACCAAAATTCACTATATTGTTATATACCAGAGACAACAGCATCGTTACATCTTATCCACCTCTGCTTTTGAACGTTTTGCAAATCATATCAAAAGGTATCATACTCTATACAGCGGAAAACAAAAACAAATGAAATTGCATCATCGTTATATACAGAAAATAAATAATCGAATTAAATAATCTAATATGCAAGTCACTTACCGTTACTTCTGAAAGAGAAAATTCGAGAATATTCACAAACAGAAACAGACACACGAACAAACATCTGGGGTTGAAGCCAAACAGAACAAACAAGCAACATCCGCTAAATAAGGGAGAACGCGACGAAGCAGAAGTAAATAGAGGAAAAGGAGAATAGGAAGAGGAAGAGGGGAACACAGGGGCGATGAGGGGAGGAAGGAGAAAAGGGAATAAAGCAAACGCACGAGGAGAAAAGGGAGGGGCACCTTGAGAGGGGAAGAGAAAAGAAAAAGAAGAAAAAAGAAAACATCCACAAGGAAAAGGAAAGAGAACACGTGAAGACTATAATAATAATAATAATAATAATAACAATAATAGGAAGAAAAAGAACCAAACTGCAAAAAAAGGAAGAGAAAGAAGAAGAAGAAAAAGAAAGAAATCCAACACACGAAATGGAAGATGGAAGGAGACGCACAGGGGGGGGGGGGGGGGGGGTGGCGGCACGTGCAGAGGGGAGGACGAAGAGACGGAGAAGATGTATGCACGGACACGCCCCCTTCGCCCGGGGATTCTCTCGACAGCAGAACGACGTCCGGAAGAGCACGCGAAAGAGAGGCGGTTCCAGGAGCGTCGGCAGGGGATGGCAGACAGAGGCGCAGGAGACAAGGCGAGCGAGGAAGGGCGACAGATACTTCTGGACGGGAAAGGATAAGGACGTTTACATGCGCGGGGCGATGGAGGCTGCGGGGGCTGTGTGGCTCACGCAGATGGACACAAGCGGATACCTACACACGTACACACACGTATATTCACACGCACATATATACACAAACTCACGCATAACATACACACACATATTCTCTCTCTCTCCTCTCTTCCCCTGTCCCCCCCCTCTCTCTCTCTCTCTCTCTCTCTCTCTCTCTCTCTCTCTCTCTCTCTAACACACACACACACACACAACACACACACACACACACACACACACACACACATATATATATATATATATATATATATATATATATATATATATATATATATATATATATATATATATATATATATATATATATATATCTGCAGCAATACATGAAGAACAAATCCAACACAGAATGACGCCGAACGGGGAACAAAAGTGGACGAAAGAACTGCACCAACACACATGATTCGCAGCATACATAAATATGCCAGGGAAAGAACACGAGGGAACAGAAGCCACGAGGCAGCAGCGAACAAGGCAAACAAGGAATACGAAAGAACAAGTGCGTTGGAGAACATGTACAACTGACATGAGACACGTGTACAGGGGACATGAGGTACATAAGCAAGGGACATGAGCCACATAAGGAAAGAACACGAACTTCATAAACAGGGATCATAAGCCACATAAACAAGGAACGTATGCAAGAAATATGAGCCACATCAACAAGAAACGTGAACTATAAGAACAAAGAAAATGAACAAGAGTCATCAGCCACATGGACAAAAAAAAAAAAAAAAAAAAAAAAAAAAAAAAAAAAAAACATCACAATTGAGGAACTTGAGCCACATGACCAGGAACAAGAACCACAGGAAAAGGGACATGCGCCAGATAAGCAAGCAACATGACACACAAGCAAGGGCCATGAGCCATATAAATAAGCACCAACAGTAGGAAATGTAGTAATGCATAAACGGATTCTCACCTGCACGGACTCCTTGAGCTATAGAAAACTGTCCATAGTTTATAGGTTCCGCATAGGTTATAGGCTCTTCACTCCCTGCAAAACATAGCACACTGTTAGGTCTACATACTACAGGTACATGTTAAGATGTTAAACAATATCTAAACTGTAATTCTATCTCCCCATAAGATGTTAAAGTATTTCTCTATGCAAGCTGTCACATCAGCTGATATTAACTATGCATGATTATCATAATTATGAAAATGCATTTGCCTAAGTAAGTCACTGACACACAAAATATTACATGCTACATAATCTCCAAGCATGTCTACACAAGCATATGCTAGATCTAGGGTAAATCAACTTCATATAGATATGATTGCTAGTCAAAATGCCTGTACGAAATAAAACTTGGCTAAAAATACAAGCATCATAAAAGACACTCTGAAATAGAATACAAATAAAATCCTCTCTATATACTCGTGAGGTTGTTTCCCCTTTTTCAGTACTTTCACATAGGCCTGTTACTCTGTGTCTCCTGGGATCCCTCGATAAGAAGAGTGGGTGATATTCCCCGTGCAGTGTGAAAACCTTGATCATCTTATCTTTCACAACACGAGTCTTAAATGTGGAATCTGAGAGATTTGGTGAGCTGCCATTTCTTTGTGTATCTTTGAACACTGTAATGGAAGTATCTGGTAGCTAGCGAATGGTATCCCAAAGTGAATTGAAGTCATGTCTGAAAAAAAAGTTCTCATCATCACTGGAATATGTTTTGTCATATTAATCTAGTCTATCCATCTTTGTCCATTCTCTCTCTCTCTCTCTCTGTTTCACACGCAATAACACGAGACACAAACCTGACATTACCTACTTTTCCTCCATTTTTTTTAGAGCCAGTAATTTTTTTTCTTTCTTTCTTTCTCTCTTCTTTTGCTGAGCAGGAAAAGTTATAGGGATCATTCGTCTCGAGCCTGTTCCTATCTTTTAAAGTGTCATATATCTCTCCGGGTCAATGGGATTTTATCTCCTGCCACCGCATTGCCGTGAGAAAGCCCTGGTCTCTCGTATACATCTCCGGTACGATGACCTGTGACCCAGCTTCTAGCACAGCCCCTCTGAGAAGGGCCGCGGTATATTCCAATTATCTTCACCACTCTTCAACAGTCTCCTTCAGGCTTTGCCAATCTCCAGCATTCTTCAACAGTTTCCAATCTCTACTAGTCTTCAGCTTTCTTCACGTTTTCACCAATATCTGTTAGTCTTCAACAGTCTTCACTAGTCTACGCCAATCTCCAACAACTTTCATTAATCTCCGCCAGTCTTCGAAAGATGTCTACGATCTCAGCTAACTAATCTCCACCAGTCTTCAAGTCTCCTTCAAACTTCTCTTTCAATCTCAAATCTCACTATCTTTCTTCCAGTCTTCACGAATCTTCGCCTTCAATCTGCTTCCGAATCTTCAAATCTCCACCAATCTTCTTCTCACTCTTAAGTCTTCTTCGAGCCTCCACCAATCTCTCCGAATCTGCAAATCTCCACCAATCTTTACGAATCTTCGTCTTCCTCTCCAAATCTTCTCGAATCTTCACGTCTCCATCAGCCTCCACCAATCTTCCCCAATCTTCGCCGTTGTCCTGATATCCGCGCTGGCTTCAGTAATTCTGTTGTTGTTGCTTCATTATCTGATATCGGGAGGGACGGTTTTGCAGTACCTTAGTTGCAGATATTTATTTTTCTGGAGATATTTATGCACTTTAATCGCGTGTAATGTTTACGTCTTAGTCGCTTTAGTGTACGCTAAATTTTATTTACGGACCTGTTTATGTATGTTATGTGTTTATCATTATTTCCATTATTATCGTTATTTTTTTATGGTGGTAGCAGATAGATCAATTACAAGTACGCAAACAGAATATTTTTTTGTTTCATCTTGCATTCTATTTCATCTACTATGTATTTTTTGCCATTTGTCCCCGATTTTTTTTTCATAAGAATTCCGAAATTATTGAAAAGAGAACTTCAAAACGAAAGGGAGATATAAATGTGTTACTGCGTGTGCAAATAGGATCGTACATATGTAAAAAAAAAATTACCGTTTATCTGCTTGTTTGTTTGTGTGTATGCTTCATATAGGCCTCATCCTTGCACAGAGACGTATTTTTATTTTTATTTATTTATTTTTTATTATTTACTTATTTATCTTTTTTTGCGAAATGAAAGGCCACCAGATGCGTTAGTATAAATGAAGATATTCACGAAGCAAAATACAAACAACAATATGTACGAAGATGAAACACCAAGATGAAATAAGTCGCAGCGTTTCGAGTCAAACTAGACTCCTTAACTGAAACAAAACAAAAGACAAAACAAATAAAAAATAACCATGTTAATCAACTGATATTGATATTCTACGAATAAACTTAGCATTCCCTCTTCGTTTGTACTTGGTTTCATGGATGTGCATCGCCCATCTGCAACACACACCCACATACAATTATATACGCAATTTGCTTTTCATCTACAAACACACATAATGCAAATACATCACTACTTTTCTTTTGTTTCAGAACAGAATAAGTCTCAAATTTCAAGCCATGGAATCAGGGGCGAACGCATATTGAATTACGCGTCAAGGAAGAAATAAATAATGGCAGTTATCTGTAGGGGTGGCTGGCGAAAGAAGGGGCTCGATACCCTTGGCATTCCCAGTCAGGTGTTTTTCTTTTTCTTTTTTATATATCAGTTTCATAAATGAACATCAGTTATGTGGTTGTAAGTAAACTTATAGCCTAGCATATATAAATACATGCACACACACACACAGACACACACACACAGACACACACACGCGCGCGCGCACTTACACAGGCATACAAACACAAGCGTTAACACGGATGTAATCATAGATATGCTTGTGTTTATTCTATTTTTGAGCGCACGTGCGTGTGTATGAACAACCAAATAATCTTTTCTTCCTGTCTCAAATATCCACCAAAAGAAGCGAGAATAACAATAATAATAATAATAATGATAATGATGATGATGATGACGATGGTGATGATAATGATAATGATAATGGTGATTAGATAACAATAATAACAGAAAAAAAGAAGAAAGGAGAGAGAAAAAAGAAGACAGGAAGAAAAAAAAAAAAAAAAAAAAAAAAAAACAGACAAAAACGAACAAGAAAATAAAAAAAAAAAAAATCCCTCCCTCCCTTTCTTTCGCAAGGAACTCCAAATTTCCAACTTAGACCCCGCCCTAAGTACGAAACACTGACCTCCGGATGACGCTTTGATAAACATTAAAGGAAGATTAGAACTCAATTTGGCAGGCTGAGGCCCGCTAAAGCCGCGCGCGCACCCGGGGAGGGGGAGACGGCGGCCAGGCAGAGCACACGGGACGGGGGGCTCAGGAGGAGGGGGGGGAGGGGGGTTAGCAGGTGGCCCGCTCGCTACGGGGACCTCGCTTCTACGGAACAATGTGGAGGGTGGGAGGGAGAGGGAGAAGGTGAGAGGGAGAGGGAAAAGGAGGAGGAGGAGAGGGAGAGGGAGAGGGAGAGGGAGAGGGAGAAGGAGAGGGAGGAGGAGGAGGAGGAGAGGGAGGAGGAGGAGAGGGAGAAGGTGAAGGAGGAGAGAAGGAGGAGAGGGAGAAGGAGAGAAGGAGAAGGAGAGGGAGAGGAGAGGGAGGGGAGAAGGAGAAGGAGAAGGAGGAGAGGGAGAGGGAGAGGGAGAGGAGAGGGAGGAGGGAGAGAGAGAGAGAGAGAGAGAGAGAGAGAGAGAGAGAGAGAGAGAGAGAGAGAGAGAGAGAGAGAGAGAGAGAGAGAGAGAGAGAGTGAGAAACAGAAGAGTGAAAAACAAACAGAAACAGCCAGAAAGAGAATGAGAGCAGCGCAAAGCGAATAACAAATAACCCTTCGCCACAAGAACGACCCGGAGCGAGACGACGAGCCGGCCCCACGACCCGCCCGACGATCCTCTCGCATCCCCTTCTTTGCACGAAGTTTCCGCCCGAACTTCTTGTTTATACAAAGACTCGGCTGTCTGTGAACTTCTCATCAGGCAGGTGTCTTGGGCGAGTCAACCCGACTTCCCTGGCTGCTGCGTCTTCGTTAGTCATGGTCAGTCATTTGTTTCCGAGGAATTCCATTGGCTGGATCGGACTCGCTGGGCGGGGCGGCGCCCGTCCGTCCGGGAGGAGCGCCTGGAAGAGGACGCCGCGAGGGCGAACGAACCCGCACTCACACGAACACATAAGAAGTAATAAATATACGCACACTAATAAAAATATATATACATATACATGTGTGTGTACATACAAACAGACACACACACACACAAAACATATATATATATATATATATATATATATATATATATATATATATATATATATACCTATATATGTAATATATATATATATATATTAATATATATACATATATTATATATATATATATATATATATATATATATATATATATATATGTATATACACATACACTCAAAGCATATAATTGAGTGTGTGTGCGTTTGTACGTGTGTGCGTGTACGTGTGTGTGTGGGGGGGGGGAGATTATGCAAATGCATGAGTGAATGTAATTAATGGATTATTTCCCTCTGCTCCTTCGCGAGCCCCGGGTCGGCGCGCCTTCAGATGGACAGCGAATGCAAATCCCGAAATATTTCTCCCGGGCGTGCGCGGGCGTGGGTCACCGAGGCAGCACCGCATCGAGGGCCCAGCCGCACACAACCCGCTTTGTGTAATCACAGGGAAATTAATATAAAAATCAGAGATAACGTGACAGCGACTATATAAGTGCAAATTACATTTTTTCTCATAATTGGCAACTTAGCAAAGAATTCGAAGAACCTGGCATGCTGCCGCTGTTCTCGTGATGAAGTCACTGCAGCATTCGACCTTGTGCTGCCTATACATAAAGACTATTTTATGTCACTGGCCCCTGCCAATTGTGGTGCTTCCAGTTCTTAAGCGAATTTGACACGTTTGTCCCCCGACAGAGAGCTCATCCTCGCCTAAGTCAACTGGCCGTCAGGTGAGTGTTTTTCTCTACGAGAATAAAACTGTATTGT